CCCCCCGTTCCGCCATCTCTGGCAGGCTGCCCGTGGTGGGCGGGAGGAGGAGGCGCCGTCTCTGCCCGGGATGCTGCCCGTGCGAAAGGGGAGAGAAGACCAGTGGCCGCCGGGCTTGGCCCAAGGCAGGTCCGCACGTGATTCCTGTATGTACAGAGTCTCTCTCTCTCTCTCTCTCTCTCTCTTCCGGGCCCCGTCAGTCGGCTGCCACTGGGTGGCGCTCCCCCCGCCTCCCCCTCTACAGTCAAGTCAAGGTCTCCTGGTGTTAGATCGCTGCTCACAAAGATCCGGAGAGTGATTCCAACCAAAGTGATCAGCTGTATTGAAGTAAGGAGCAAGCGCACAAACAAGCCATAACGAGAACAGATTAACATTGGAACCTTGGCTCCTTTTAAACGTTCCCGGGCTAATGTAGCCACGCCTACTTACAAATAACAACCAATAAGGTGGTTCGGATAAAGTCCAATGAAAGTCCTTCCCGCTCAGGGAATAGGTGTCCTGGTTGCTGAAATAGAGCGACCAATAGCAAGTCAGTTCTGAGGAGCCTTCATCCAATAGCAAGTCAGTTCTGAGGCGCCTTCGTCCGGCTCCAAGCTTTGCATGGGGAGTGAATGCGGTGATTCATTAAGCCATTTCAGTACATGACACCTGGGCTGGCTTTTGCCCCTGAGCCATTGGGGTGAATGGGGGGGGGGGGGTGCTGTGTGCATCGGCATGCCCCTGCCTGACAGGAATTGTGACTCACCTTGGCGCTGCTGACAGGAGTCGTTTTGTAGAAAAAGAGCTAGGGGAACTTATTAGCATATGCCACACCCCCTGACATCACCGGAAGTGTGTCATGAGGCCACACCCCCTGACATCACCGGAAGTGTGTCATAAGGCCACACACCCCGCCCCCAACGGTCCCGGCCGCCACCCCCAGCCTTGCAGCTCCACTGCCGAGCCCCATGAGGGGCCCGGCGGTGGACCTGCAAGGCCGGCGGGAGTGCAAGGAAGCCCCGCAAAGGCCCTCCCTGGCCCCAGGCAGGCAGGGGTGGGGAGAGGCAGGGAGGAAGCAACTTACCCTCCCTCTTCTCCTGCCTCCTCCTGGCTGAATGAGGGCCGGAAGCGGGGCGGCCAGAAGCAGGGGGCGGGGCTTCGTCATGTGCCCCGCCCCCATACCTCACCCGGGGGAACTGCGATCCCCCGCAATCCCCCCCCCGAAATGACCTCTGGCACCGCATCCTGTGCAGGGTGTGTGTGGACCTTGGTGTGCAAGGTGAGTTTACTGCCTATTATTGCTCTTCTCGAGGGCTGGGGCTTGAGACAGTGGGAGCCGCTTCTGTGTTCTGCTTCCCGCAGGTCCCCTTCCCTGAGCAATCCCTGTCGCTTTCCCGCAGAACCCAGGCCGAAGGGCCCTGTTCCTCCGACTGAGGGCTGGAGGCCTCCCACGCCAGCCCCTTCCTGTGCTTTGCCCTTCTTCCCCTGTGGAACCCACAAGCCTAGGCCAGGCATCCCTAGGGCTGCCTTCCAAAGACTGCCTGCCTGCCTGCCTGCCTGCCTGCGTGCTTCTGGCCCTCCGAGGAGGGGACCCCTTAGGCTTGGCAACGGAAGGTGGTCATTGGCCTCTCTCCCAAGGATCGTGGCCCAGCGATGCGTGCTTGAGAGCAGAGCTCACAGCCAGAGAACTTATTGCCAGCCCAAGGAAACACGCTCTGGTGTCTTCCATGTTGGAGGGGGGGCGTGTGTGTTTTCCCTATGGCTTCTGTGGCTGCCACTGCAGCACAGTGCAAGGGCACAACAGTTTTGCCATGTGGCAGATCTCCCCCACCTGCCCCTGCCCTCCAGACTCCTGAGACCAGCCAGCCCCCCCCTCCCCCCCACGCATACTACCAGGGACTTTATTAAAAAAAAACAATTAAACCCACTTGTGACTTTTGTTTGATTTGCCCTTGTAAGAGGCCAGAAGGCACAGGAAGTTAGGCGTTCCCTTTGTGGTTACTCACAGTCTGTGGCTACGTCCTGTTCCGCACGCTGGACATTCGGGCCACTGAGTACTTGAGATCAGTTAGCTGGGGAACCTGGCTTTAGATTAACCACACAAACATGTCCCCTTTCCTGTGGGCCCGTGGCACGCTGGCCAAGGACGCTGCGCATGCTCAGAGGCTTGCTTGGGGTGCTGGGTAGACCTGGGTGCTGCTTTGACCAGTTTCTTGAAAGAGAAGCGGAGGTGTTTGGATACAGTCTGGGAGGGAACTGTGACAGGACACCGTTCCAGGATGTTTGAACATTCACCAGTTAGTCTGATGGGCCTTTGACCGTAATAAACTGATTGATTGACACCAGTTAGTCTAACAGCCATCTTCACTTGGGGATGATCCGTTTGGCTGCTTGTGAACAGTGTGAACGACCGATTCCCCACTAGCCGCTGCATCCGCATTTTGCCCCACAGCTTCACCCGATTTTCCCTGCGTCTTCTCGATCCTGTTTTTTGAGGATTGAGAAGACGCAGGGGAAATCAGGTGAAGCTGTGGGGCAAAATGCGGCCATGCAGCAAGTGGTGTGGGACATTGACACATGGAATGGGGGGGGGGAAGAGTGAGGACAGAGCAGTGGTTAGTGGGAAATTGGTCAATGTGTTTGTTGGGTTGTTTTTCACATGTTCAAACACTACAGTAGACTTTAGCAGAGCCTGCAGAGCTTCACCTTGCATCTGCATTCTCACATAGCCTGATGGGACCCCCCCCCTTCCCTCCACAGCCTGTGGTTGCCACATGCCACGCAGCAGCCAAAGTGAGCCAATCAATCAGTCAGCCAGAAATTGCAGACAACACTGTATTTTTAAAAAACCCCATAATTTTGGATTTTTTAAAAAAATCCTTGTTATCAATTTTTGTACAGGCAATTTTTGTACAGCCTTATGGGAGGCATCTTTAGTCATGTCCCTGGGCACAATCGCCTCACCTCCTGTGCCACTGGAAAAGCCCCCCAGGAGGCAAGGTCCAGTGGCCAAACCGAAGCTGAAGCCAGACAGGATGGAGGTGAGGTAGGCTGGAATCGTCTTCCCACAGTTCCTCGTATTATTATTATTATTATTATTATTATTATTATTATTATTATTATTATTATTATTATTATTATTATTATTATTATTAAACATTCTTTTTTCCAGCTACAAGTCATTTGGAAGTTGGTTTCCTCTTTGTAGTTGTTTCAGTAACCCTAAGTAGGGCTGTTTCCCAGCTGAACTTTAGGATATTAGGTCAGCAATATCCAGCACTGCTGCTGTCTCCCTGCCATGACTCCCCAGGCTGATGTTGGGGAGACTGCAGCAGCTAGGGAGGAGGGAGCCCTCCCCAGCTGAGAGGTGGGCAGTGGGCCAGGCTTCTGCAGTCTGGAGGCCCGCCTCTACCACCCATATTTGCCATCTCTCCAGCAAGGCCTATTATCAGTGCCCCCTTTGTGGTACAGACCAAAAACTGTTAGTATTGAAATGTTATTCCACACATTCCTGAAGAGCTTCAAATAAAGCTGAAGAAAAGCACCAAAACATGGTGCCAAAAGACAATCTAAACAACATTCTTGAAGAGCTTAAAGACCACATAAAGAACAAATTCACATTACTGAGTTCAAATGAATGGGAACTGAAAGAACTATTAGTTGAAACCAGATATATCAAGGAAGAATGCACAAAGACTATTCCTGTAGCCAAAGGAAATGAAAAGCCTCAATGGAAACTGATGAAACTGGAAATAACTAAAGGTAGATGAGAAGCAAAAGTTGGCAGCAATAGAATCAGAAGTGTACATGCAGCGTTCCAGTGACCTGCATGAGGGATCTGTTCGACAAGATCCAAGACATCAAAAGGAAATGTAAAGCACAGTTAGGCATGCTGAAAGATCAACATGGAAATACATTAACTGAAATAAAGACAAGATGGAAACAATACACCAAAGAATTATACAAAAGAGATGAAAAGGTGAGAGGTTCCTTCAAAAAAGAACCTGCAGTTTTTAGAAAAAGAAGTGAAAACTGAACTCAAAGCAATTGGGAAGAACAAATCACCAGGAATAGATGGGATATCAACAGAGGTATTCCAAGGCACAGAAACAGAGCCCATCAAAATCTTAAAATTGTGTCAACAAATGTGGAAAATGAAATAATGGTTGATCTACACTCCAATTCTGAAAACAGGAGTCCTCAAAGACTGCAGCAACTATCTGACTTTCACAATAGTTTCTTGCATGACTAAAGTGATGCTCAAAAATCTCACAACAAAGACTGTCCCCACATACAGAATGAGGAACACAAAATATTCCAGCTAGATTCAGAAAAAGAGGCACTAGAGATCAAACTGCAAATATACACAGGGTACTGGAAGATACAAGACAATTTCAGAAGAAAAGCAGCTTGTGCTTCATAGAGTAGAGCAAAGCTTTTGACTGGGTGGGTCATGAAAAGCTATGGTTGGCTTTAAAAGTAATGGGTGTGCCACAACATTTGACTGTTTTATGTGCAACCTATTTTGATGCACAAGTAGCAAGAGGCTTCTGGCAGGACAGAATATGGAGAAATACAACTGTTTCCAATTGGCAAAGGTGTCAGAAAAGGATGCATTGTAAAACACCCCCCCCCCGTCTCTTCAATCTGTATGCAGAATAACTCATAAGGAAAACTAGATTAGATTTAGATGGAGTGAAAATTGGCAGAAGGAACATGAAACTGTTTGAGATATGGAGATGACACCACATTAGTGGCAGAAAATGACTCCTGATGAAGGGTAAAGCAGAAAGTACCAAAGCAGGATTACAGCTGAACACCAAGAAAGCAAAAGTACTAAATACCAATGAGAAATCAAAGATCTGTAGTGGGAAGGATTACGAATGGGGGACACAATTTTGGCTCTGGGTCTGTTGTTGCCAATGTGTGCGTATTCTGGATTGGGACCCTGCCAGATAACACCAACAGGACACTACCAGATGGCAGAAAAGGCCTGGTATTGCATAAGGAGAGCATGTGTGGCCCCCTGCAAGGGCAGGTTGAAAGGAAGAGCTTGCCCTGGAAGCACAGCCTGTCCCCAGTGCCTTTGGAAAAGCCACCGTCTAATGTTCTCCCACTGGCCTTAACAATGCACATTTGGAACACTGGCCTAGATATACTCAGAGAGCAGCCCCCCCCCCAAATCACTCAGCCCTTTACAAAGCATCCTTAATTCTCACACGGTGAGGGTGGTAATCTGTAGGGGTGATTGTTAAAACACTGCTGTGTGGTCAACAACTAGACCGGGGTGTCAAACATGCGGCCTGCAGGCTGGATGTGGCCCACAGAGGGCTCCAATCTGCCCCGAGCAACTTCCTTCTCCTGCTTCCTTTCCCAGGGCTGCTGCTGCAGCTGCACTGTAGCTTGCTTTTCCCCCAGCTCCCTTGTGGATTTTTGCTTCCTGCTTCTTGCCTCCCTCCCACCTCCCTTGCTCTCTCTCTCTCTCTCTCTCTCTCTCTCTCTCTCTCTCACACACACACACACACACACACACACACACACACACACACACACACACACAAATACAGAGGCACACAGAGTTCTATGGCTGCTTTGTGTGGGAGAGATATAAAGTCTTTCTCTCCCACACACACACAGCTTCTGCTTCCTTCTCCGGGGCTGCTCCTCCTCTTTTGGGGAGGGAGGGGAGGAGAGAGAGAAAACTAAGTTGGAATCTCATTAGGAATTAGAACACTTGGATTGGTCCTTATCGGAGAGTGGAATGATTTTAGATGCCAAATGATAATAGCACACATTGGTAATGAGACAGGAAACCTAGGTGTCAATTCAGTCCAGGAGGATGCATTGTTTTGAGCTTCATTATCAATCGCAATTCAGCAGTCTCTCTTTCTACTGTCCTTTTGAAATTCCTTTGTAAGAGCCCTGCTCCTCTTAGGTCAGCAACTGAATGTTGTGGTTTCTAATGTCAGACTCATGTCCATTTATCCTTTGCATCCTCCTGGACGGAACTGAGACCTCGGTTTCCTGTCTCATCACCAACACTGGCATCTCCACACCTCCTACCCCCTCTGCATATCACACCTAATCCAAGCAAGCCTGCGATTGCCATTCACCTGCTATTGCCATTTGACATCTGAAATCACCTTTATAAAGTTTATGTCTCCGGTACCTCGTGTTACATTTCACGGCACATGTGGCCCAGCCCAACAAAGTGACATTTATGTCAGCTCCAGCCCTCGTAACAAATGAGTTCGACACCCCCCTGAACTGGACAGTCTGGCCTTCCTCAAAGGAGCCTCCCTGTGAGCAGGAAGGGGGAGGTGCCACTAAGTTGAGCAGGGCCAGCTGGTCTGCCTCTCCCCCATCAACCCTAGGCGGCCCTCAGGCAGGCAGGCAGGCAGGCCCGGCATGTTTTAGGGGGAACGGCACGGGCAGAGTGACGGGAGCTGCTGCCATGCCAAGCCTGACTCTTCCCCCCCCCAAAAAAAATCCCTGCTCCCAGCCTCATGCTGAGCTCCCTTGGATCAGAACCACTCCTCCTCGGTGTCAGGCAAGGGTGGTGGGAAGTGGCTGGCTTCCCCCGGGAATTGCTGCGGCTGGGAGCTTTGACCTCTGGCGAGGAGGTTTGGGCATCCTGGGCCGGAGGACGGTTTGTAAGCAACCTTCTGACTCCGCTGTGCTTTGTTTCTAGACGCCAGCGAGCAGGCCGGCTCCTCACTCCACCTTGGTAAGTGCCACTCCGCTCAGCTCAGGCCCCAAGACGCGCCCCCCCACCCCGGAGCCACACCACCCCCTCCACCTGCCTCATTCCCAGCCAGCGCACAGGGGGAAGGAGCACACGCCAGCAGGAGAGCCATGCTGCAGCCCCCGGGAGCCCGTGCCGCAGCAGCTCCCGGGCAGGCGTCCTTCTTAGCCTCTCGCCTTCTCCGAGAGGGAAACCCATTCTGCACCTATCAGATTAAGGCACAGGCCTGCATAACTGACCCCCCCCCCCCCCCCCCCAGTTCTTCAGAATTTTAATTTTGATTTTATTCCCCCTTTCCAAACAATGACCGGCTGCCTGACTCAAGTGTGTGAGACGCATGGTTTGCTGCTCACAGACAGACCACCTGAAGTGGGGGGGGGGGAGGCAGCTCTGCATCTTGGGAATCACCGCGAATGCCAGAGGTGGGCAGAAGTGCTGCATGGGGTGGGGCTGGACAGACCTGCTCTGAGGGAGGAGAACCCTGGCCACAGGGACGTTTTGCATCCTTGGCAGGGGGAGATGCAGACCAAGTTGGAAGGAGGTTCCTCTCCTCCTCTGCGATCCCCGTGGAGTGTGGCTTCTCTTTGCCCAGGGGGGGCATCTTTCAGTTCCTCCCCTCCCCACACAGCAGCCTCATGCCTTGCCCCCCCCCCCCCCGGCTGTGCTGAAGGAAGATCCCCTCTTGCAGCCCTGGGCCTCTGCCATCCTCTCTGCGGCAAGGACTGGGTTGGCTGGCCCTTCTTGTCCCCACAGGGCAGCCCCGGGTGGAACCCCTCAGGGGCCCTTCTCCCCCCGCACGGTGACTCTGCACCCTTCCCTTCTCCCCCCCCCCCCAGGGGACCTGCTGGCCCTCCTCTTTGGGGCCCTCTTTGCGGTCACCGCCATCGCGTTCCTCCTCTACGTCCACAAGCACAGGGCCCGGGGCCAGAGGTGAGTGTGTGCACGCGGCACGGTGCAGAAGGCTGCAGCCTGCAGCTGGGGAGGGGGCCATGCATACAGAGGAGGGGGAGGGCAGATGTGGCTGTGCTGCCATGGGAGGCCCCGGACCCCTCAGTCAAGCATCGGGGAGGGGGCTTCTGATCAGGGCCCTGAGGAAGAGGGCGGGCGGGCGGCCCTCTGGGTCTTCTTCCAAGTGGATGCTTCTCCTCACTCCCTCCCTCCCCTCGCCCCAGGCCAGACGCCCAGGCGGCCAAGCCCAGCATCATCTACGTGGCAGCCACCACTGAGGAGCACGCAGGCGAAGACACCAGAGAGTCCAGCTGAGGGACGAGTCCGCCCTGCCCCACGTGAGACGCAGCAGTCCGCCTTCTCTCCCCGCCAGACGCCCTGCCGGGGAGTCCCTGCACTGTCCGCAGCCGTCCGGGAAGCATCCGTGTGTGCAACGGCCGCCCAGGGACGGCAAAAGAACAAACCTGGCTTGAGCCTCTGGCCTTTGGACCAGACAACACCCCGGGGGGGGGGGGGAGAGCGAACCCCTCCCCTTACTCCAAGGCCCTTGTGGGTGCTTGCTGACCCGGAGGGTGGGGGGATGGGGGATCAGACGAGCTGTGAGTGCGAGAATGGACTGCACTGGGAAAGGCAAAGGGGCAGATCCACCCTCCAAGAAGACTGGCGCAAGGTGTGGCTCCTGCCCCAGCTCTCGGAGCATCCTGTCCCACCAGGGCCCGATGGAGCCACTCCCCCCCCCCCCGAGGAAGGCTGCCGGAAAGGCCATGCTCCTGCCCAGGGCAGTCTGCCCCTGCTGCCGTACGTCCGAGGTGTGTGTGTGTGTGTGTGGGGGTGCCGCCTTGGCCTTGCAAGCGCAACAGAGGCTGCCTGGGAAGCAGGCGTGCCGAGGCGAGAGGCTGCACTGCCCCAGCCCTGAGACTCAGAGGGACGGGTGCGGGACAGGCTGCACAGCAGGTGGGGGCCAGGCCACTGCCGGGGG